AAAAAAAAAGGGGGGGGGGGGGGGGGGGGGGGGGGGGGGGGGGGGGGGGGGGGGGGGGGGGGGGGGGGGGGGGGGGTGTGTCAGGGTTTAAATTCATTTGCCTCCAGTGGAATTTAAAAATAGGAACGTTGAGAAAGGGCAATGTAATAATGATGAATGAGGTGGGCGCATGAGTTTAATAAAAGACATGGGACAAAACCGGTTGGATCTGCATTTTCTTAGATTCTTCTTTAGTACATTTCTAATCTTTATGGTCTTAAAAGTGAGTAAAAAATTCTCCAGGTATGTATCAAACCTAAGTATACTTCATTTAGGGGGTTTGAGTCACATTAATTTGGAAGAATGTATTTTGGAATAGTGGATTAACAGAGAATGTGTAGTTGAAAAAGAAGGAAAAATTATTGATGTGTTGAAAAATATTATTTTATTGAAGAATGTGTGGTTGCAAATGAGTAGAAGAATAAGAATGATGCGAATAATTAAATTTATGATATTGTCTGAATTAGAAATATTAACGTGGCACTGTGCTAATATCAAATTGACTCAAGTTATATCGTGTTAACCCCAATGTCATTTTTTTAGCTAGCAAGATAATGTTGGATGAAATGACTTAATTTAAACGAAATATATATTAAGTGGTTCAATTGTAACAAGACAAGTTTAAGGATCCACTCAAATTTTTTACCCTTGCGAGTATGTTAAAGTGCAAAACAATGGATTTGACAATTTTATTTTCCCTTAAAGGGCACAACACAAGGAATTTTTTGGAGATTTTTCGTCCCTACTTTGTCCTAGTATTCCAGTAAGAGTAATGATATTTAGCACTATTAATTTTTAGAAAAAATCCACATGTATAATCATTAGTGGTGTTGTAACTTTTAACTTTTACAGCACCACACATTAGGGTGGGGTCCACTACCCTAATGTGTGGTGTTGTAAAAGTTGTAAACCACTAATGATTGTACATGTAGTGGGGTTGTGATTTTTAACATCAATTTGGCAACACCATTGAAATTAACTTAAAGGTTTAATTAAATATAAGGAATTATCAATTATGATACATTTAATAGGACCTATGATATATTGACATCTAAATTAGTATTCAACATCAATGCTAGACAACATTATGAGTAATGCTATTTAACCTCATTGGAGTTAAAACCCCAAATTATGTGATGTTAAGTGGTAGAGTAAATGAAATGTGGAATTAAATTACTCATTTAATTGTATTTATCATTTAGTATCATATTAGCTCCACATAGACTGAGGTTATAACCCAATGGAGCTAAATAGTATTACTCTTAAGATTATTTTTGGTAGTAAAAATATATTTAGTCCTTAAACCTGGCCTAAATTGCAATGCAGCATAATAAACAACAATACATAACACCCATCTCATCCCTCATTCAAACATGTTTAAAGGAAAAATTACCACATAACTTAATAATGATACATAGGGATGGCAACGAGGTGAATTGGGGTAGGAACAACCATTCTCGTCCCCCATCTCATCGGGTAATTTTTATTTATTTTACTTTTTTATTTTTCAATTTGTAGAGTAATTCACGCTCCATTTAGAAAATATAACGATTCTTTTCTTTTCGTGTGATAAAAAAAATTGAAATTTGATTTAAAATGTGGCAGGGATCATGTTTCTCGTACCCATCCCATCTCTTGACGGGCCATCCACCCCCCCTTCCAGTGAACCCAATTACGCAGGAGTCCTCACCTCGTTCAGGGCAGAGCCTCCTGTTATCTAGGATTTAACGAATTTTTTTCCCATCCTCAATGATAAAACAACATTCAAGATGCCAGATTTTTTCCCTAACTCTTTCCCAGAATTTGTTGCTAGTTTTGTGAAGGTTAATGCCACATTGTTATGGTTTTTGTAGAACTAGTTCTCCAATGTAAACTAGATCCAATTGGTTCATTTGGTCACTGAACCAGATATAGGTCAAAGTTCCTTAATAAAAATAAATCTTGATCAGCTCCAGTGAATACAACTATGTAAGAGAAAGTCGAAGGAAAGCAACTCAAACAGGTCTAGAATAATTTTGATTGGAGGTTCCCATAGAAACATATAGGAACAAAAGGTATTCTTGTTTTTTAGGCAGATTTTACGTTAGAATCCTTGATTAGCCTTTCTTTTGGTTATACTGGGATGACACTTGGTCCGTATCCGGAAGTCACTGTTTATTGCAGATTTCATACAAGCAGTTAACTAGCCTTCAATCACGCCAACAAGAGGATTTTCAATCACATTCTATCCTTTTCATTAACACTTACCTTAATATTTCGTGCCATATCACATCATGACAACATTCTATTGGAATAATTGGAATTATGAGTTATGCTAATTTTATAGGTTTTTTTTTTTTTAACTTTGCTACATGTACACCATGCTGTACAATCCCCTCACATAGAGAGAGCCCACAAAAAATTTATTCATGATGGGCCCCGTGACATGCTGTATAGCATGGTGTACAACCATCATATATTTTTTTGGAAGCGGGCCCCCCTATTGTGAGGGGAATATACACCAAGTTGTCAAACTTGGTGTACAAGAAGACAAATTCTTGAAATTATTTATAGTATGAATTGAAATATATCTCTAATAGGTGCCTCTTCAATTGTAAATAGTCATTTTGTTTAAAATGGGTGTGACTATTTAAGGGCATATGATGAAAATGTGTATACTACATCATTTAATGTGAAAATGTATGGTCTATGTTTAGAGACGCAACCTTTCAAAAAAGTCACTTGAAAATCTATAAATAGAGATCTTTAATTTTATTTTCTCCTACACCAAATCAATTCAAATTATTATTAATTTCTAATTCTCTCATCACTTCAAAAATTTCATTCATTTTGTGTTGCTGAAATAAAATTCGGTTCAAATATTTAATTCGCATCTATTCCATTTATGAAGAATATTGTCTATACTTTGGTTCGACCGACAAGATTGGTAAAGTGCAATACCTACTTTGGAAAGAAGCGTCATATCTTGAGAGACGGACGTCCAATTATCCTTTTGGCACCAGTGTAGGGGTGAAATCTATTTTAAGGGGATTTGTTATGACATAACTCACTTCATCGTCACTTTTATTTTCTTTCTTTTGATTATACATATCATTAATTTGAACACAACTTCGTCACCCACCGACCATTTTTTTGTATATGTAATGGTCATTGGTGAAAATGGTCACGTGCTTGAAGTAGAAGCATATCAATAAAGGAAAAAGGTGCTTGTACAACATTAGTGTACAGCCTTGTACACATCTCTCTCACAATCGTGGGCCCCACGATTATTTTATAATGATGGGCCCCACTATTATTGTGAGAGAGCTGTGTAACTTAGTGTACACCAGTGCTGTACACCAAACATCTCTCATCAATAAAATCCGAAGTAACAACTGTAATTAATGTTGAATTACAACAGTTGTAGTTCATCATGAATTTCCAAGAAAAAAAATCAACAATCTTTTTATTTCAACTTGAGTTTGCAACGAACGACATTCACTATAACACAAAGAAATTCAAGTATAGAAAATAATCACACTCTTGCAGCTCATTAACTGTTTTATTTGAAAAATAAATTATAGGAAAGATTTTAGAAAATCTAAAGAATGATCATTAAAAAAAATTGAATCTGTCTACAAGTACAGGAAATTTGAATAGAATTGATACAGAAATTTGAAATCAACAATACAGATTCAAAGTTGGAAAAAAACTACACACACAAGTGCACAGGATGCTGCCACATCCTTACAAATTCTGTGAGTTTTCCCTGTGCTAAGGGAATAACTCAAAAAAAAATTAGTCAATATTGTAAGATGAGGTATACTTTACCGATGATATGAAGATTACAAATCTGTATTCGACGCTTCTTCTTATTGTCTTCCTCAATTTTTCTTCAAGGACTCACCGTTCTGTAAAATTTTTGGCTAAAGATTTTTTATTTTTTTTTATTTTGAGTCACTTCCAAAAAATTATCTTAGAAAAAACTTTTGACTTTTCAAGAATTCCGTAGAATGAGTCCTAAACACAAAAGAACACATCCCACCCTATTGATGGTCAGCTATCTATTAAACTAGATATTGATGTAATTGATGCTTATATAATTTGCAATAATTTTATGTTAGTGTGTGTGGAACTTGTTAGATAAGCTTCATTAGTCTTCTTTATTTCTTGTTATTTCGGACAATTGGTCTTGCTCGAAAATTATCAAGGTTTTGTCCGTGTAAACTGGTTAAAGGGTTCGAAGTATCATGCAATCAAATCGTTGAACTCCGTATTGAATTGAAGAAGTCGAAAAATATGAATTTCTCTTGCAAGAGAGCTTGGAATAAACCTAGACCATCCGAACAATGTAATGTGTTAACTCCTTCAAGAAGAATGATAACAATGTGAATACAAACCGATGTAGCAGTGCTTTTGTCGACCACGGTAGTAACAAGGTAGTCACAATGCTTGAACAAAAAATATTTGTAAAATTCGAATTCTACTTGAGACCGTATAAAAGGTAGAATGCATGGTTGAAAAAATTTGTTTTAAGGAAAAATAGGTTTTAAAGAATGTGGTTCAAACATGAACGATAAGGATATCTATTCAGAGTGTGTTTGAGACACATTCTTTTGAAAGAATGTATTATTGAATAGTAGATTGATGGAGAATGTGTGGTTAAAAATGAAGGAAAAGTTATTGATGTAATAGAAAATATTATTTTATTGAAGAATGTGTGGTTGAAAAATGAGTAGAAGAATGAGAATGAAAAAAATAATGTGTA